TAATGGACACGATGCTTCAGATGACTTTTATAATTTGGTGAGTGGAAAAAAGCACTTTTCATGTAGATACGCCATTTTTAATGTGTTTGCAGTTTGACGAGTTTGCTGAATCGCATGGTCTTCACTATAACAAGAGAAATCTCCGTGAACTTGAACTGTATGAAAGCGCAGCAGATGGTGCAACTGTGGGTAAATATGGAGCTCGACATACTAACTGTGAAGAGGTTAGACTATTCCCTTCCTTGTTTCATTTATGGTTTGCAAATCATTTTGTTGCAGTTTCGACAGTTCCTCAGCGGTATCAAGGCGCAAAAATACCATCTACAGTATGCTTCCGTCAAATGTGGTGCGATGACATTCTCATTCTGCATGGCATTTGCTTGTCAACCACATCTTTACGTAGCTTATACCACCTCAGGATACTAACATTGCTGAAATAAACATTTTGATGCAATTTCTATGATATGTAAATTCTATATAAAATATAAGCATACGCACAGATACACAGTTGAAAATCTACACTCTAAAGACTAATTGTAGTGATAGAATTGTGAAGGGATGGATAAATGCTCAAAAAGAAACGTGTTTGAGATTATCTACCAAAGTATTAATATGGTTTCTTTGACACATATCCGTCTAGAAATCTTATTATTCCGCTGAGCCGTTAATCCTTGCTGGATCGTCTTTGAGCGTCTAAATCAAAGTTAACTTCTGCGCATTAGAGTCTTTGACTCTGCTTTTTTTTCACAAAGATTTCGCAATAGTGCTTTCTAGAATCACAGCTCCTGAAGCACGTCCTAAGTTTGTTTTGCTGTTTCTTAGTAAAATATCGGGTGTCTATTGTCGCTATTTGTATTACGGAGTAGAAGTATGATTCTATTTGTTAATATTTGAACCGCTGCTGAGCTAAACCTGCTGGGAGCATAGACCGCTAGTAGGCTCTAGTAAACTAGTACATAGTATAACCATTGCTTCTATTTCTTCAGCAATGCTGGCTTCTTTAAAACCCTTTGTTTGAAAATTTTTTTAGCTTTCGTGCTAACCATAGTTTACCATTGTGTCAACATTTCGGCCAGACTTAGCCTGTTTCCAAATTCCATAATTTCCTTGGGCTACTTTCCACTCAGAATATCAAATTCTTGACAAAACGCTGTTTGTACGTAAAAGCTCATTCCTCCCTCTACGAAACTACGTTCCATTCAAGACTTTTGACTTTGTTGTGCTTTTAATTTGAGGAATGGAAGGCTATGTCGAGAGGAAACAGCGTTTATCGCCACCTGCTAGATTTTGAAAGTAGCCAGTTAGTTAGTTTATAAAAAGAAGATGCCATTCTTTAACTCTGTTAAAGATTGGTTTATTAAGTTTAACTATGGCTTTGAGACATTTCAAACAACGGTAACCCATTCGAGTTGGAAGTAGAGCATCAAGGCAGATTCAACTTTTGTTTTTCAAGATCTTCCTTTGAAGGATTTTCATTTTTCCAAACAATTTCTGTCTATAGAAAGAGATATCCTTGGTATAAGAAGTATCTCTTAAGAATTGAATACACATTTCTTCAAGAGGATTCGCTATTTCACTTCAAGGACATAACAAAT